TGAAAAAGAAAGATATAGAATGTCTATCTCATATGTGGGACTTAAAGGTACACAAGATAGTAACAAAGAGTCAAAGGCAACCCTATAGAGGAACTGACCTACACAGTTGAGTCGAGGGGGATGGGGAGTGGGAATGGGACTGAGTTTATTGGGGGAGGCAGATTACTAAACCATTTTATTAATGGTATTGTAAACCAAAACTTAAGAATGATTTTTAAAAATTTGGCAACAAAATAAAAAGTTACTAGTACTAAAAAACTGGGTTATTTCGAAGGGCCCTGGGGATAGTTCAATGGACAAGCACCTGAATTGCAAGTTTAAAGCTGTGGTCTTCATTACCTCTACATGTGCTGAGCACAATCCTGGAAGCTCTGTCATTTGTCCATGATTGCTGTCTGTAATCCTTCTCACAGTAAATGATTTTTGCCTGAACCACAGGCAAAGTTGTGCAAGAATGGCAACCTCATGTGCAAGCACCACAGCAAAGCATGTGTGCAACATCTGATAAATACAACAAGAGAAAAGGGAAGGAAAGGTGTAATTGAACTTTTAAAAGTGCCTCTCAAGACTTATATATATTTTAGATATAAATACCTTATCATATTTATTTATGATAAGGTATTTTAGATATAAATACTTTATCATAAATACCAATTCCTGCCCACCTTCCCTGGGCCTCCTCCACCCAGATCCCCCATTTTCAAGTAGCTTGGCAGTCACACCCACAAACTGCCCCCGGTGCCATGTAATCCCATCAACGGCCAAGATCCAGAGACTATAAAACAAAGCTCCTGGAAGAGCCTGGCCACATTCGTGGTCGTGCGACCTCTTATAGTCTAGCCCACTGATGTACCTAAAGCAGCATACATGTATTTGGTTTTAACATACTTGCTTGTATTCTCTTATATACATTCTCCATCCATTTCAGAAAGCCCGGTAAGCTACCAAGAGTATCCTGCCCACACGGCAGAGCCTGGCAAGCTCCCCGTGGCATATTCGATATGCCGAAAACAGTAACAATAATGAGTCTCATTTCCCTGACCCTGAAAGTGCCTCCAAAAACATGAAAAAAAACTAACCCTGAGGCAAAAGGCACCGTTGGGAAGGATGAGTAAGGAGAGCCTGCTAAAATCTCAGGACTGGGATGAATGGAGACGTTACTGGCACCCGCTCAAGCAAATGATGAACAACTGGATGACAGTGATACAGTAATCGTATATATTGTTTTGAAAACTTTTTGCCTCTTCTGGGGGTTGTCTTTTCAACTGCCTCTGTTTCTCTTCCTTGCCCCGTTTTTTTTCTGTTATTGCAATTTCCATGATATGGCACTCACAGTAGGTCATAAACTCAGTTGTTGTGAGTAGGATACTGATAAATTGTAGTGCCTGTGGCTCCAGGGAATCCTAGGGGCAATCAATGATGTGCTGGAGATGGAACAAGTAGACTCACACCAACTTTTCCATTGAGCCAAATCTCCAGAACCCCTCATTTCACTTTCTTGATGACGTCCTTTGAACAAAAAGTTTTACATTTTGAAGATAGACTAATTAATTTTGTTGCTTGAACATTTGGTGTCATATCTGAGACATCATTGCCTAATCCAAAGTCGCAAAGAATTATACCTTTCATATGCAAATATGTCATATGCAATATAGTTTTTCTTCTTTTCTTAAAAAATGGATGCTTTTTATTTCACTTTTCTTGCTCACCCTGAAAAGAATGTATGTGTTTAAACAAGAAAATAATTATTTTTATTTTTGACCAAAAAATTTTATAGCATACCAAAAACTTTTATATTTGCGTATATTTATTGTGGTCTCTCTGTTTTATTGTTGTTACTGTGTCTGGCATATCGAATACGTCACGGGGAGCTTGCCAGGCTCTGCCGTGCGGGCAAGATACTCTTGGTAGCTTGCCGGGCTCTCCGAGAGGGGCGGAGGAATCGAACTCGGGTCGGCCATGTTGGCCGCTTGTAAGGCAAACGCCCTACCGCTGTGCTATCGCTCTTCCGTGCCTTGCACGCAGCCAACATGGCTGACCTGAGTTCGATTCCTCCGCCCCTCTCGGAGAGCCCGGCAAGCTACCGAGAGTATTTGATATGCCAGACACAGTAACAACAAAGTCTCCAATGGAGACGTTACTGGGCCCGCTTGAGCAAATCGACGATCAACGGGAGGGCCTTTACCCTTTACCCTCTGTTTTATTCATTTTATTATAGTTATACCAGTCCTACACTAAAATTGCAACTTTCAAAATCATTCTACTTCTTTGAAGTGTGAGTTACTCCAATGGCTATAAAGAAAATTCACACTAGGTAAGAAAACGTAGCTGGCAAGGAACCTGGCACATATATGGCAATCTAGAGGGCAACGCCACACACTGGGGTTGTTCTATGAGTCCTACTACCTATAGTAATTTGGAAAGAAGGATAGTTAATAGCTATTCATACTGAGTTTTAAGCACCCAACATAAAAGTAATAATTTTCTAAATCAAATGCCTAAAGAAAACCAGGACAAAGAAATATAAGAGATTGTGTCACTAAGTATGTACTGATGGATAATTCTGATGTTCCACTATGTTCATTATAAAAAAAATCAGTAGAACTACTACTGTAAGTACAGTATAAGAACAGACACACAGCATTATTCATAATAATCAAAACATGGAATTGACCCAAATATATGTTAACAGATGACTGGGTAAATAAAAATTGAAAGCATGCCTTTTGGTACAAAATGGATGGACCTTCGGGGTGCTTCCACTAAGCGAAATAAGAAGGAAGTGATAGACAACTACTGCATGACTTTACTCATATGTTAAATACTAATTAAATATATAGCAACAATTAATATATAATTGAACAAACAAAACAAACTGTCCTCCCATTTTTCATCGATTTGCTCAAGCGGGCCCAGTAATGTCTCCATTTTTTTTGAGACTTGTTGTTACTGTGTTTGGCATATTGAATATGTCATGGGTAGCTTGCCAGGCTCTGCCGTGGGGGCGAAATACTCTCGGTAGCTGGCAGGGCTCTCCGAGAGGGGCGGATGAATCGAACCCAGCTTGGCCGGGCTGGCTGTGCACAAGGTAAATGCCCTACCGCTGTGCTATCGCTCCAGCCTATATAATTAAAGCAAAGAAATAGGTAAAAATAGGAACAAAAAAACCAACTCCCAGGCAAGATGAAATCTAACACAGATTACAGTGGGGAAGTGGTGAGCCTTTGGAGAAATGTGTAGAGGCCACTTTAGACGGTAGAAAAGCGCTAAAACATTGACTGTGGGGACAGTGCATCCTATATACATATAGAAGTGTTAAAATATTATATTCCTGAAATTCTGTAGTACTGTAAACCAATGATAAATTAATTCTAGGGAGGAATACTGGGAACATTGGTGGTGGTAATGGGCACTGGTGGAAGGATGGGTATTCAACCATTGTATGACTGAAATGTAATCACAAAAGTGTGTAAGTCTGTAATTCTATCTCATGGTGTTTCATTAAAAAATTCATTTAAAAAATTAATTCTAAAAACAGGTAAAGTATGGAGTATAAATGCAAATTAGACAACTGTTAGGGATTTTTTTTGCAGTGCTGGGAAGCAAGCCTATGGCCTCACATATGCAAAGTGTGTACTCTACAACTAAGTCACAACCCTGACCTGTTATGGGAATTAAAAATGCACTTAAAAGCATAAAATTATATTTTACTACTGTTTAGTCTCTGTAGCTGTTAGAAGTGAAATTTATACGTCAAAAGATAAAATATTATTATTTCTAAACAACTTACAAACTTGCTATTTGGAAAATTTTTACTAATGCACTCAAGAGTGAGGGAAAGCACATACTCCTCGATAAACCTTGCACACATTTGCGTTAAAGCAAATATATTGAAGTTTTCCTTCATTGTGTATCTTTTTGTTATAGGGGGGAGACAGCGAGTCCACACCTGACTGTGGTTAGAGCTCAAACCCTGACCGCCAAATGCAAAGAAAGCACCTTACCAACAGTCTATCCCTCTGGTCTCCTTTCTTTGGTTTATAGTGGGGAGGCAGGGGTGGTGGGGTGGCACATAGCAATGTTCAGGGCTTACTGCTGGATTTGTGCTGGTCACTCACTCCTGGCAGGGCTCAGGAAACCAATTTTGGTTATATTTTTAAAAGGCCTTCCACACCAAAACTTATGTGGAAATGGAGGCTGCTTATTCAGAGTTGCTTATAACTAAGGAGTCAGCCACCATCACCTGTGTTCTGTAGAGACCTAAGAGGCAGAGTGTGGAGTGGGAAAATGTTATAGTAAAAACAGAAATAACTTAGGATTTCTCCAGTTGCAGATTGTAGGCACTGGGAAGCTGGAAGCATTTAAACTAAAACCAGGGCATCTCATGAGATTAGGGAGCCTATTCAGCTTTCTCTAGTTGGGCGGGGCAAGAATTAGGGAGGCTGCAGTCATTGTTCGTGTCCTGAGGCTTTTTGCGGAGTCTGTGCTTCACCTTCGTGGGCTGCTCTGTAGCGGTTGTGGGTCGTTACACCAGTCTCCTAAATGGCCGTGTCGTTGTCTATCATGTATCTAATACACGCTTAAAAAAATACAGTTCTCTCATTTGGCCCAAATCTTTTATTTTTACTTCTAGGCGAATAATCCACTAGAAAGGTCAACCTTGTATATGTCAGGACAGAGGACATTTTTAGAAGTAATACGTACAAATTCTTTTCAAAAGTGCAATATCGATCTCTTTATGCGGCGATAAAGTGCCCATTCATTGGATGTCATTGGGTGGGTCGGCTCGCTTTCAGTGGCATTTAAAAGCAACAATGTCAAGACTCCTCCCCCGAACCGCTCAATCCATTTTTGAAAATAAAAACCCAGTGTGGTGTGTATTAAGATTCTTCCTTTGACCAACTTCCTAAGAAAAGGAGAAGGACAAAAGAATTCAAGTACCAGAGGTGGTGGGACAGTCGCCGGCTAGTGGGCGGGGCATGGGGGCGAGCCCGGGTGACGCGATATCACGTGACTGGCGGGCGCAGAAGTGGGCACCGGTCCGGGTGCCCGCCCTCCGTCCCTGCAGTCGCCCCCCGAGCCCGTCCTAGGAGTTAATTGTCGCTCCAGTTTCTTTCAGGTCAGTGCGAGGGGTTTCGTCGCTGCCGGTGGAACGCTGAATGGAGGGAGAGAAACGGGCACGGAAAAGTGAGCGGTGGGGTCCGGGGTCTAGGTCGCAAGAAGCTGGCCCAAGTGCAGAGATGGCGGGGGGGGGGGGGGGGGGGGGGGGCGGGGGAGGGGCCGTGGGGAGCAAGTGGTCAGTGGGCGGAGGGCCGGCAAGGCGGAGGGCCGGCAAGGCGGACACCCCGAGGATTAAAAACCCCGTCTCCGCGCTCGCTCCTTGCTGTCCTCCGTCCATTTTAGAGCCTGAGATGGTTGAGCTAGGAGGGGGCGCCCCAGCGGTGAGAGCAGAGAAATGACCCCCAAGCCCTTAGTCACTCCATACGGAGAGGAGAAAGTTGACCTAGAGGGTGGAGAGGCGGATTGCCGCAGGGGGAATAGGACTCGGGGATCCAAAATTAGTTTGGAAAATAGTCCTGCGTCCCAGGCATACAAAGAAATGGCGGCGGGGGGGTGCGGGGGGGAGGGCGGGTGTGGAGCAGCTGGAGGATCAAAATCTTGGGTGCGGGTGACCGGGATTCAGGAAAGGGACCCTAGTTTCTTGCATCCACCCAGCGCCCAGCCCCGTCTCTTGTCTGTCTGCAGATCTGCCTGTCTGCTGTTTTCAGCACACTGCTAGGCCAGAAAAGGGGAGCAACCTGTCCAGAATCCCTGCAGGTCAGTGAAGAGGGTGCCACTATATAGGAGCTCAGAGGGGTGAGGAATGTGGAGGGCAGGGGCCAGGCAGAATTTGGATCCTACTGCCCACCTTCCAACATATGCACTGTGTCACACTGAGCAAATATAGGGAAAGTGGCAGGACTTGCTAGGGAAAAATAACTATTGGGTAGCATATGCGTGGGAGGAATGATGGGGTAATGGGTGGGCAGAAGACACACTTGGAGGGTCGAGCCAATTCAGGGGACTCCTGACAAGGAGTGAGGTGCAGTATTAGCAAAACCTACCACTCAGTCTCATCTCCTCTTTGTTCCCCTCTTCCTGCCCCACCCCATATTCCCCAGGACTGGAAAAGGAGGAGAAATCTCAACATGGAAAAACTCTGCACTGAAAATGGAGGAAAATATGAGAATCAAGGAAAGATGGAAAATGAACCCCCTCAGGATGCAGGAAAGCCAGACATAGCTTCTGTTCTGGAAGACAAGGAGAAGTTAGAAAGTGAGAGAAAGACAGGAGATGGGGAAATGCAAAAAGACAAGGAAAAGTTAGAGAGTGAGATAGAGCCAGAAATCAAGGGAAATCCAGAGAGTGGGGGAAAACCAAAACCAGAGAGCCAGGGAAAGCAAAAGAGCGAGGAAGACGGGGATAGTGAGGGGAATAAAGAAAAGCCAGACAGTGAAACAAAAGCTGCAGGAAAGCGTCCAGCTGAGGATGAAGTACCCAGGAAAGCCAAAAGAAAAACCAACAAGGGGCTAGCTCAGTGCCTCAAGGAACATAAAGAGGCTATACATGATATGCATTTCAGCAATGAGGAGATGATAAAAGAATTTGATGAGATGGCTAGGGTGGAGGATGAGGTAAAGAAAACCAGACAGAAATTGGGTGGGTTTATGTGGATGCAAAAAAATTTACAGGACCCCTTCCACCCAAGGGGCCCAAGGGAACTCAGGGGTGGCTGTAGGGCCCCACAAAGGGGCTTTGAAGACATACCATTTGTATAGTGCCCCTGGCAGGCTTTAGCCAGGCCCTGGGCTATATAACCTTATGCAGATACTTTAGGTGTCACTCTGGTCTTCCAATTAAAGCCATTTATGATACTGTAGCAGATTTTCATCCTTTGCATGAAAAAATGTTTATGGTGCATTATAAAATTAAAAAGGAAACAGTTTGCAGAACCATATACATGGCATGAGTTAATTTTTTTAAACTACAAAGATATTTTGAGATCTGCATATGGAGAAAATGCATGGAAAAAGTTCTTGGTGCATTATAAAATTAAAAAGGAAACAGTTTGCAGAACCATATACATGGCATTAGTTTATTTTTTTAAACTGCAAAGATATTTTGTGACCTGCATATGGAGAAAAAACTCTGAAAGGAGTGCCCATGAAAATCTCAACAGGGGTTGAGAAATAGCACAGCAGGTAAGGTGCTTGCCTTGTCTGCAGCTGACCCGAAGTGCAGTGCCAGGAGTACACCCTAAGCACAGTCCGGAGTGGCTCAAAAACAAAAATGAAAAAAGGCCAATAGTGGTTTTATGTGGGTAGTTATTTTCCTGTTCTTTTCCTTTGTTTATTTCCCCCTAACATTACTTTTTTCATAAAAATAGCACTGTAGCTCGAGTGGGCCTAGTAACATCTTCATTGTGAGACTTGTTGTTACTGTGTTTGACATATCGAATACACCATGGGTAGCTTGCTAGGCTTTGCTGTGCGGGCGAGATACTCTCGGTAGCTTGCCGGGCTAAAAGTTAAAATAGAGAAGCATATTTTCAGGATAAAAATCATTGAAGGAAAGGGGGAAAGTAAAAAAAAGGAACACAATATCAAGAATTATTCATTGATCTTACAAAGGCACTGGAGACATTTAACATTGTTGGTATTGGTGCCCGAAAGATAGCTCGATGGGCTTAGCAATGCTTTGCATGCGGGAGGACTAGGTTCAGTCCCTGGCACTGCCAGGGGCAGCCTGATCATTACAGGCCATGACTCAAATTAAATAAATAAAATTCTTGCTACTAATATGTGAAAGTATGGGTACAATTCACATTAATATCTCAAAGATGGAGAAATTGACCTGCTAGTTATCATAGATCCATTGCTGTAAGACAAATCTTAATATCTGTGAAATGAGAATTGAATATGAAATGAAAGTTGCTTTGCATGATATGAAAATCAGATGATGTACTGCATGTGAGAGTTGTGTTGGGCTAGCTCCTGTCCTCTTCCCTGCATAAGTAGGATCAGAACCTTGTCGGATGTTTGGAGGACTGAGGAATGTCTTACCTGTGTCCAGAAATAAGTTCAGACAGTTCAGAGGTAGGTGCCACTCCCCCCTGGGCAATGTCTTGTGTGTTGAACACTATGTCTCTTTTCATAAGTTCTGCAACTCCTGAGCTCCTTATCGCTACTATTGGGCTGGCAATAATGGACTAAACAACAGTGCCTCAACAGAAGAATAGAGAATAGTTACTCTATCCCAGGTGGCTAGTACCTAATTGTCACTTGGGACTTGATAAAGTTCTAAAACCTTCCCAGGGGAAGAGGGATGTAGTTTGATGCATGCTTTTTGTGTGTGAGACATTTGGTTTCATCACTGACAGCACACACACAAAACCTCCAAGTTTTATTATTGTTAATTTGTATGTGTTTCTCCACTGCGTTTAGACAGTGGAGATTGAATTAGGAGAAAAATACGAGTGGCTGTGAGCTTATCTCATACTAATCTCTTGTCAGCTGACACTTCTTAGGAGTCTCCCAAGAAACTACTGTTCCATCCTGCATTACCATTTCAACAAATCCATCTGCTTACCTTGATTTTCTCCTGGAACTTCGTTAGTTTTTTATTTGCTTGGGTTTTACAAAGAAACTCTTATGTTTAGGACAGTTGTACATTTACAAATTACTGAAAAAATAGCACAAAGTACTACCCCATACCCAATATCACAAATTTGTTCATGTAACAGCATGGCATATTTGTTACAGTGAACTACTATCCTAAGTTTTTTCCTAGTGTTCTTTTCCCTAGGATCTGTTCTAGGATATCACATCTGGGTTACTACCATTCATTTAGTGGTCCAGTCTCCTTAGTACCTTTTGCCTGGGAAGTCTCACACAACTTGATTTTGATGTCCCTGACACAAGCTTCTGAAAATGACAAGTAAGGTATTTTGTATACTCTCTGCCCCACAACTTGGGGTTTGCTTGATTTTTTTTACTTGTGCTTTCACAGACATTGAATTTGGGAAATAAGACCACAGTGGGAAAGCACCGTTCTCATCACAGCATATGAAGGGTACGTACTTTCAGGGTTAACACTTTTGATGTTTGGTCATTTGGCTGCTGTTAGTGTTTTTCAGGTTTCTTCACAGTAAAGCTATTCTTTTCTTTTTCTCTTTCCATTCTGTACTTTTTGAACAAAAGTTACTTCTATCTGTGGTTCCATATTTAAAGAGTGGAGTGTTATTCACCCCCACCTTGAAGGTGTAGTATCTACAAATTATGTGGAATTTTCTACAGGAGATTCGACTCTTTCCCTTTATTTATGTATTCAGCCTTTCAATTTGTATTAGTAGAGACTCATTCTAATTCTATACTTTGGATTATAAACTAGCACTTGCACCAATTGTAAAAGCTTTTGCCATTGGGATTTCTTTCAGTTGGCTTATGTACCTATTTGACATAGTCCTATCGTTGTGCTGTTTTTTTCTTTTAATGCTTTATTCTTTCTGGCACTACAAAGTGCTCTAGTCTTGCATAGCTTGTGCTCAAGTCTTAGTATCAGGTACTTCTCCATGACTTAGTAACTTTGGCTGAAAGATGTTACTAAAGACCAAGATTTTGGTACTAGATATACTCACTACTATTCAGATATTTCATTACTTCCAAGCCCTCTCAGTTGATAGAGCAATGAGACAGATGAATAGATAATAATCTGTGAATATATACACATATCTTTATGTGTGTATATGTACTTACATCTTTCTTCCTATTTTGTTCCACCTTTAGCTATACTCAGGGTTTGCTCCTGGCGTCTATATTCAGGAATCACTCCTGACAGTGCTCCAAGAACCATCACTGTCACTGTCACTGTCCTCCCGTTGTTCATCGATTTTCTCGAGCGAGCCCAGCAACGTCTCCATTGTGAGACTGTTGTTACTGTTCTTGGCATATCGAATACGACACGGGGAGCTTGCCAGGTTTGCTGTGCGGGCGAGATACTCTTGGTAGCTTGCCAGGCTCTTTGAGAGGGGCGGAGGAATCGAACTTGGGTCGGCCATGTTGGCTGGTGCAAGGCAAACGCCCTACCGGCTGTGCTATCGCTCCAGCCCCCATGAACCATATGAACTGGGAATTGAATGGGTTGACTGAATGCAGGAAAAGCACCTTAACCCTTGTACGATGGCTCTATATTTTATTTATATGGATGGGAAAGTGTGTTTTTAATCTTATAGAATCCACTCATTTCCATCCGCTCATTTCTAAAATTTTTGACATCCTTTTAAGTAGGGTGTTGCCATTCACGAGACTGGCCCGGCTGAGCCGCGCTCGATTCCTCCACCCCTCTCGGAGAGCCTTGGCAAGCTGCCGAGAGTATCTCGCCCGCATGGCAAAGCCTGGCAAGCTCGAATATGCCAAACACAGTAACAACAAGTCTCACAATGGAGACATTGCTGGACCCACTCGAGAAAATCGATGAACAACGAACAACGGGAGGATAGTGCTACAGTGCTTTAAGTAAGATTGTTTCTCACATCTGTAACATACTTAGATGCTTTTGTCACCTTCTGCATTTGGGAAATGCTGATGAAAATGGTATTTTAAAATTTGAATTCTACTTATTCATTGCTGTTATATAGGATATCAGTTAGCTTTTGCTTAGTAGACTGACATCCTATGATCTGTGGCCAGATGTTTGTTAATGTTTGGGCACTTTCTACACAGATGATAATGTGTATCACTGTATCACTGTCATCACGTTGATTGTTGAATTACTCGAGCGGGTGCCAATAACATCTCTATTACTCCTAGCCAGCCCCGAGGTTTTTTTTAATTAGTGAAACACCATTAAGTACAGTTGTAGACTTACAAATTTTCGTGCTTGGGTTTCAATTATACAATGATCAAGTACGCATCCCTCCACCAGTGCCCTTCTCCACCACCAATGAGCCCAGTAGCTGTCCCACCACCCCATCCCTCTACCCCGCCCCACCTCTGAGGCAGGGCATTCCCTTTTTCTCTCTCTTTCCTTTAGGGTGTTGTGGTTTGCAATAGAGGTATTGAGTGGCCATCGTGTTTGGTCAATAGTCTACTTTCAGCATGCATCTCGCATCCCGAGCGAGTTCTCCAAACACCCTTCACTTGGTATTCCCTTCTCTATCTGAACTGCCTTTCCCCCCAGCCATGTGCTGCCGGCTTCCAAGTCGTGGAGCAGACCTCCTGGTACTTATCTCAACTATTCTTGGGTGTTCATCTCCCCTTCTGTTACTTTATATTCCGCAGATGAGTGCAGTCTTTCTATTTCTGTTCCTCTCTTTCTGACTCATTTCACTTAGCATGATACTTTCCATGAAGAACCACTTGTTTGTAAATTTCATGACTTCATCATTTCTAACAGCGGCATAGTATTCCATTGTGTAGATGTACCAAAGTTTCTTTAACTAGTCATCTGTTCTCGGGCACTCGGGTTTTTTCCAGATTTTGGCTATTGTGAACATACAAGTGCAGCAATGAACATACAAGTCCAGCCCTGAGATTTTAGCAGCCTCTTCTTACTTGTCTTTTCCCAACGATTGGATGCTCTTTTGGGGTGAGGGGAATGAGACCTGTTATCATTACTGTACTTGGCATATCAAATACACCACGAGGAGCTTTCCAGGCTCTGCCAGTGTGGGCAGGATACTCTTGGTAGCTTCTCGGGCTCTCTGAGAGGCATAAATTTATATAATTTTCTCTATGATTTGCTGCATACTGCCTGAACCCCATCAGTTATGGTGTAGTAATTGTGGAAAATGGGTAGGAAGTGTCTTGTAATATGTCATGCGGCCGCTTTGCAGCCTGGAAAGCGGCCTGGAGAGTGACAGTGGTTGGGTAGTGGAGGTCGACTGCTGGGGCTGGGTCCCTTGGGGTGGGGAGGGCTCTCTCTAGCCCCACAACCTGGTGCGGAGTCTGGTGGCATGGTTCTAGGAGCCTCATTTTATACTCCCGTCTGGGAGGAACATCCTGAGTTCTGGAAGGTGGTCGATGAGAATATCTGGTGCCAGCAGGGTGTGGCTTATGAGTGTGATCCCTGAGTCACTGGAG